TCTCCCCCAAATCCAACCTCCCCCTCCCCAAACTCCTCCTCCGCCCTTTCCGGGAGGGACCGGGGAGGGGGAATCCCATCTCCCCCTCCCCAAATTCCTCCTGGGTGACGATTTATTTATTTTTTTTTTTAAATTTTAATTTGGGGAGGGGTCGGGGGTCGATAAACGTGTCTTACCAGGATACAAACCCTTATACCAACCATACACTGAGCTGTGGAGGGGGGAGCATTGGGAGCGGCTGCAAGCCAGCAGTGGCAAAAGCCATCACAAAGGTGGCTGCAGTGACAATAAAACACAGTTAATACAACTCCGGCCACTGACCCGCTGACCGAGCCCCTCCCCCGCACGCCGACACCGCACCCCCGCGCGGCCGGAGCGCCCTGGGGTGGACACGGGGACCTGGGGTGGACACGGTGACCTGGGGTGGACACGGCACCCACGGGATGGCCGGAGTGACCTGGGGTGGACACAGCACCCATGGGACACCCCTGGGGTGGCTGGAGTGTCCTGGGGTGGACACGGCACCCGTGGGACACCCCTGGGGTGGACACAGTGCCCTGGGGTGGACACAGCACCCGTGGGATGGCTGGAGTGTCCTGGGGTGGACAGAGCGACCTGGGGTGGACAGAGAGACCTGGGGTGGACACGGTGACCTGGGGTGGACACGGCACCCATGGGATACCACGGGGTGGACACGGTGACCTGGGGTGGACACGGCACCCATGGGATACCCTGGGGTGGACACAGTGCCCTGGGGTGGACACAGGGACCTGGGGTGGACACGGCACCCATGGGACACCCCTGGGGTGGACACAGTGACCTGGGGTGGCTGGAGTGTCCTGGGGTGGACACAGTGACCTGGGGTGGACACGGCACCCATGGGATGGCCGGAGCGCCCTGGGGTGGACACGGTGACCTGGGGTGGACACAGCACCCATGGGATGGCCGGAGTGCCTTGGGGTGGACACGGTGACCTGGGGTGGACAGAGCGACCTGGGGTGGACACGGCACCCGTGGGACACCCCTGGGGTGGACACAGTGACCTGGGGTGGACAC